TGATGGGGTTGGCAGCTTGCCTTCTGAGGCCAGATCTGGCTCTTTCACATGGATAGGAGGAAGCGGCCACAAGGCTGTTGTCATTGTGAACTCTGCCTGCCAACAGTCAGCCACCACAGCAAGCTTAGGACCCAGCTCTGCTTCTGGCTTGCCAGACTACTCTGCACCAAGCCCTCAACCTTCCATCCTCGGGTATCTGACCAGAGTAATTAGGATTAAAAACCTTGGGGGATGGATGGATATTTGCATGATGGGTTGACCGCTGGCAGAATGGGACAGAGGCATCTCTTGCACACTTCCCTCCTGATCCCTGAGTACATTCTTCCTTCTTTCTTAGTCTGGAAAGACTGTTGCTTAGCCTCAGCCTTCCTGAGGGTAGGCTGCCTCCACTCTGGGTTTTCCTAGCCTGCTGTACCCTCTGCTTGCCTTGCAGAACCCCTCCGTAAAACTGCGTCAGCTTTCTCATTCTCTACCAGTCCCTGGGTGTGCTGACACTCTCACAGTGCCAGAACCAACATCAGGCACAGGGAAGGCCGAGACAGAAGATGCCCAGACAAGAAAAGAAAATGAAAGATGAACTGCTGGGTGTACTTCTAAAGTCTGCACTGGGACCTAGAAATACACCTATGTCCCAGATCTTCACCAAAAGATAGTGTCTGCTGCTGTCCTGCCAGGCTACCTGCCTCAGCCAGGTGAAGGGACAGGACCCGTACCTGCATCTCTACCCCTCCCCTCCCCTCCTCCAGCCCAGACCAACTCCTAGAAAGTTTCTTCCTGATAGTTCTGTGTGATCAGATCTGCAAGTTGCTCTCTAAGCTTCTTGTCACATTTTGACTTAATGAAGTGCAACTGCTGAGGGATTTGGGTTCAGCGCTCCGGTCTCTTGCGCTCCCTTGTTGTCAGAAAACGGGGTGGTTGGGGACAGCAACACTGCACTGCAAGTCGTATTCATTCCGGTCAGTCTGTTTAACACAAAATTAAACAAAGAAAAATTAGTGCCTCATGAATTAATAAATGCACAGTTGCCGAGGATGGGTGGGGAGAAAAAGGGGTGGAAGAGAGATACTGGAGTTGTGGAGTTGGGGGGCTTTGGGGGTTCAAGGAGGCTGGCCGAGGTGCCTCTTCCAGATCTCAGGCAGGAGAGCTTGGAATGGACAGGACATTGATGATACCACTGCCGCAGGGTTCAGGACTGACTGGCCAGAGCATGAGCTGTGCCACCTGAGCCCTCCCAGCACCTCCCAGAGGACGCTCAGGGTCTCCATACTTGGCCCCAAGGCTTAGCTCACAGTCCCTCCACTTCACCAGCTCACCTCTGCTCTCCCACTGTCCCTTTTCCACTCTGCCTGCCACTTTCACCTCTGTATGGCTCCCTTTCTCTCTACTGCCCTATCTCAGTTGTCCACCCAGCTCTCTGCCAACCCCCAGCTCTCTGGACCAGCTTGATGGGTGGTAGCCCTCCTCAACCACTCAATGCCCACAAGACCATTGTCCCTCTCAGAGTATCTGGCAGAGTAGGCTCTGCCCCAGTAGCACCGTCTGCCCCAGTGGCCAGCACGGGCGACAAACGCTGGCGGAGAACGGAGCCCTCCTTAAGAGGGCATGTCAAGTACAATTAGCATTATCTGTCTAAATATGTCCTGGGAACGGGAGAGCAGGCGGTGGGACTGGGGTGGCATTCCGGGAGCCCTGTGCAAGGTCAGCCTCATCTCCCACAATCCCCCCAATCTGATTTGGGATTACATGGCTAAGGAAATTGGTGTATTCCTCTTGCATCATTGATAGCCACAAATGAGGGAGAGGGAAGAAAACAGAATGAAGAGCAAACCCTCCTGAGTGGGCCAGTGCTGAGGCTGGAGTGCAGGGCCTGGCCCAGGCAAGGGCACTGGGCCAAGTGGGCAGGCACAGGGGTTCCTTGCATCTTCTTTGACACAGAGTCTGTTCCATTTGAACTTGGTTCTCTGAACTCCTGCTCTGGGCTGAGGGCGTGAGCCTGCAAGCTCTGCAGAGTTGTATGTTGGTCATAGGCCTCCACATTGTTGTGATGTTTGTCTCGTCTTACAAGGACCCCAGTGGGGGTTGCTGTGATCCCAAGTGGAAGGTGCTGTCCACAGACTGTTCCTGTGGAGTTGGGGATTCTTGGTGCCTGGCCCTGGTCCACCTTGCCCCTTAGACACACGCTTGCTATGGGGAACAGCTTGACATCTCTTTTTTTATTTTCAGGAGCCAAAAGAAAAGAGAGTGTTTGGTGGTATATTCTGTCATTGTCCCCAGACATTTTGTCAGCTATTGAAGGCAGCTCACAGGAGAGGCCCATAACAGTGTTCCCCAAGCCCAACTCCTACTTTGGTCTCCATGAGGGAGTGCACACAAAGCACAGTCTGACTTGACTTGGTTAGGGGACTCCTGAGATTCATACTTCCTTGCATTCAGTCCCTGCTGCTTTCTGAATTTTCAAACTTTGGTTGCCATTGCTTAAATAAGCCAAAATCAGAGCCTACTCTGATTTTTTAGCATATCTAAATCCAGGGCTGGCCCTGAAGCACCAACCCCTTAGCCCATAAGTGGCAGGAAGCCAGGGGCACACAGGGGCATGGTGGTGGCTTCCTCCTGGAAAGGCTAACAGATCCTCTCTCTCCCAGGATGAAGTGACTCTCCAGCTGCATTTGAGACCCTATAGGACCTGCTAAGAGGTAAGGCCTGAGCCCACCCCACCCCCATCCTGTGTCTTCTTCCTTTATGGTGACCACTGATCTGATACATGTCACCCTGGCTGGCTTCAGTTCTGCTGAGCACCCTGGATGGATGGGAAGGTTGAGCCAGGGAATGGGAGGCCCGCTGCCTCATTGGAACCTGTTAGAAAATGATGGACCCAGCAGGAGCTGCCCTGTTTGACTCTTAGGCTGGAAATCACTGCTGGAGACATGTGGATTGTAGATGTGGGGCAAGAAACGTGGTCCAGACAGACAGGCAGCGGGAACCACTGAGGTTCCTGGGCTTTTGGCAGCCTATAGGCCCATCCCCTGCCTGGGAAGAACCCAATAGGTTTCAAGTCCTACAAATCCAGTTCTGCCTTCTCCCCTCTGAAGCTGTTTGCCTGCCAAGTGGCCTTCTCCTTTCTCCTTAAGAGCTGGCAGGGAGGAGGGCTGGGACACGGAGCTGTCCTGGCCTTCACAGGCTGTCACAGTCCCCGTGGTGGCTCGAGAATGGTGGGCCACCAAGCCTCGGCCCCAGGCAGTGTCGTGTCAGAGGTGACCGGTGGAACGCCAGTGTTATGTAAATAGTGGGCCGGCCCGGCAGGCGAGCTGGCTGGCTGCAGCCATCCATCATCCAGGCTCCGCGGAGCGAGGGACAGACACGGCACCGTGCGCTTGGCTCCAAACCTGTTTGTTTTTCCCTTTGTCTCTCGCATTTCGGGGGTCCCGGCTGCAACCGACTCTGGGTTTTGTCTTGTTGGCCTCCTCCCCCTAGGGAGGGCAAGAAGGAGAGAGTCCCCCGGCTCCCATCGCGGGCATCCCTTTTGGACTTCAAAGGCTCCCCTAGCATTGTCTGTGCTGGCGGGCAGTGCCCTGAAACGTGATCAGAGGCGGCCCGGTGTAGGGCAGCGGCCTCCGGCCCTGCACTCTTGCTGGGGCCCATGGATTCCTCCCTTTGCCGCCAGCACCACCCTGGTTACAGCGCCGCTCCGGTCCTTTCTCGCCTTTCTCTCTTGGCCCCTTCTTGCTCCATTCTGGCCACTGCTTCCTGTTCTCTAACCTCAGCCTCTCTCTCTGCTATCGAGAATCTAGAATCTAGAATTGTAAGAGCTATGAGCCTCCACCCCTTCCTATCATCCACGAGAATCTAAAGCACCATGAAGGGCTTCCTGGGATTTCTGAGCTGAAAATTGACTTTCCATGCCAGGGCTTGTTCTTTCCCTTCTTTTTCTCCTCTCTCTGCACGGCATAAGAGCCTTGCTTCCTTTGGAGACTTCTGCCTGCCCCAAAGGTCCAGATTGGACAACCCCCATTCCCAGGCAGCAGGATGGCACAGGCATCTGAGCCTCAACAGTCCAGCCCTAGCTGCTTCCATATTCTGAAGTGGACCTAGGCAAACTACGGCTCCTGGGTCACATTTGGCCCCCCACCCTGTTTTTGTAAATAAAGTTTTATTGGAACAACAGAATCAGTGTGGTCTACAAAGCATAAAATATTTACTATCTGGCTCTTCACAGAAAAGTTTTCTGGCCCTGAAGTTTTCTGGCTCCTGCTCCTCTCTCTCTCTTGCTCTCTCTCTCTCTCTCTCTCTCTCTCTCTCTCAATCTCTCTCTCTCTCTTCTCTCTCAAAATTGACTTAACATGAAATTTGCCATTCTTTCTTAAGTGTGCAATTCTAGTTCCCTGGATTTAAGTGCACTCAGTGTTCTTTGGCCATTTTCCTGTGCTCTCTTCTTCAGCGGGATTGCTCTGACAGACCCAGGCATTTGGGAGTCCCATGCTGGGGTTGTTGCAGGCTACTTGCAGCCCTCATCTAATAGGGAGTTCCTGTCCCTTTTCTCCTTAGGGCCTCACCCTCTGCTCAGTCTCTCCCCTCTCCACCCCAGCTCCTTCAGAGCTCCTGCCCAGCCTGGGGAAAAGGAGCCCTGTGTGTCCTCCTGTCACCTTTACCAAGCCCTTTAACCTCAAATCTGCAGTTTCCTCTTTTGCAAGGTGAGAAAAAGGTCTACTTTCCAGGGCTGTTGGGACAAGTGATTGAGTTGTGACTGGAAGTGGACAGCACAGGACCCGACATGTAGGAATAACACAGGGTCCTAACTCCCTGCCAGAGCCTGGGCCGCCTATTCTTGCTGGGTCCTGAGAAGTAGCCCAACCTCTCTGAGTGCCAACTTCCCCATCTGTAAAACCAGGGTCCTGACCACCATGCTCTGCAGGCTGTGGGAGGAGAGCCTGGGGTGTGGGGGGAAGCAGGCCTAGGGAAGAGTTGGGTCCCTGGGGGTATGGGTGCTCAGGTCACTCAGTGGGCACCTGTGCTGTCCAGGGTCCCCTTCTGTAGCCATGACAGTGTGCTAACCTGAGAGAAGTTTGAAGCCCTGGAGGAAAGGCTGATGGGGAAGGGTGAAGAAAAGGGAGCTTTGCATGACCAGCAGTCTGGGATGGAAGCTGCACCACCAGCTCACTGGCCGTGCTCTCTTGCTGACTCTGCCTGGGCGCCTGGCCTCTGTACATCTCTCCTCCCCTCCAGGCCTTCTCTCCTCCACTAATTTCTCTCCCTCCTCGTCTTCCCCACCACTCATGCCACCCCCCGCAACCCATGGCTCGCTCTCTCTCTCTCCTTCTCCCCCTCTCTCTCTCCTTTTCATCTACTCGGAAGGCTTTACTTTACTTCCTTGTCACCTAATTGATTGCATTAACCTTTCAGCGTATTGGATTTCCCCGGCATCGTGCAGAGAGCCCTGTGCAAGATGCTTATAATCTGAGCCATAATGGACAGTTTGCAGTCAACAAGCCCCTTCTCCCATCGGCCCCGTTGACATCTCTCTTGCCCAGGCCACCCTGGCCACTTCCCTAGCTGGCAGGGTGGGGCAGTGAAATGGAAGTGGGAGGAAGTGGACCCGTTGATGCATTTCCCTGCCTCTCTCTCTCCCTGGCCCTGTCTCTCGCCCTGCATCTCCTTTTCCAAGCTCCCTGGCCCAGTTCCTAGCCAGGCTCTGGTCTTTGTGAGTCCTCTTGGCTTGGCTTTTCTGCTCCTGGGATTCTCTGCCTAATGACTGGCCGGTGGGGCCAGCTTGGAGTTTGTGAATGACAGAGTTTCCCAGATGGTTCTGAGAGCAAACTTCCCTCTTTTCACTTGCCTGGAGACTTGGGAGAAAAATGATGGTACCACTGCAAGAGGTGAAGGGTGGCTGGAGGAGAGATCTCTGGTCTGGACTGACCTCTGAGCCAATGAAAGGGCTCTGTGGATCTTCTGGAAGTTAGGCCACTCTGGAAAGGGTGTGGAGCACAGGAGAGACAAGAGGGAGGTCTTCTAGAGCCAAGGGAAGAGAGAGAGAATGCTCCAGGGCAGGCTGTGGATGAGCCAGGCAGCATCAGCTTCTCCCTGTGGTGAAGACACAGGTCTAGTTTCAGCCCTGTTCCCATGCTAGTATGATTTGGGTGTGTTAGTGGGAGATGTCTCAGGGTTATAATTCCCATCTTGATATTTGGCAGTAGCTTTGAGCAGGTCCATCTGCCTTCACCAGAGGTGAAATGTGACACCAGCAAAAGGACAGTAAGCCAGAGAAGCCTCTGCAGGGCAAGCCCAGCTGGCCTGATGGGAGATTGGCGAAGGAGATGGGGGAAATGAGTTGGTAGGACTGGGCTCCCTTGGGTTCTAGATGGGCACCCACTAGTCCAGCAGTAGGCAGAAGAGCAGCCCCATGCCAGTTGCCTGGTCTTGGAGCTCAGCCCAGGCCGCGTCCTAGCCTCTATCAGTCTTGGTCAGGCCCTCAGCATACAGCCTGATGGACTGGGGCGTCACTCAGGACAGGATGGGATGTCAGGTTGAATACATTAGTGTCAGGCTGGAGGAGCACGACGGAAGGTCCCATTAGCCCTAGTGGTACTTCCTCTTCCCACTCTGTTCTCTCCCCAGCCCTTTGCCTATCATCTTCTCCTGCGACCACCCCACCTCCTTCCATCACTCCATCACTCCAAAGGGCATGCTCTGGCAAGAGAGGGCTGGACCTCAGTCCTTCCCATCCTCTCCCAAGGATTTTGGGGTGGGCAGAGGGCACAGCAGGGAGAAAGCCAAGCAGCGAATTAAAGTTTGTGATTGTCAGTGTCAGGAGAAGCTAAATAACCCTGTAACTAGTATGAAGGTGAATTCACGGTCTGCTGCACATGGAGAATATGAGTGTCTGCAAGACAGGCAAGTGTGCAGCCCTGAAGTCTGCCTGCCACGATGGGCAGCCTCCTCTCCAGAGACCAGTGGGAGGCAGGAGGAGGCCATGCACTCTCCCACCCCTGCCAGGGAACAGCTGCCCAGAGCCCCACCAAACCCCCAGGGGCAGCTCAGGCACTTGACAACCTGCTGGCCCCAGCCAGGGACCCATGGAAACATTTGTAAGCAACCCACCAGTATGTGCTCACAGACACCAGTCCGGGCCCCATATTAACAGTGGCCCTTACTGAGCACTTACCCTGTGCCAGCCTTACAACCATATTGCCAGTGCTTTACTATTTCTCCTTTTTCTCTCCGTTTTTAATAACCACTTTTGAAATATAATTCACATACCTTAAAATTCACCTTTTTTAAAAATGTACAATTCAGTGGTTTTTTTTTTTTAGTGTATTCACAAGGTTTGTGCAACCATCACCACTATCTTTAATTTTGGAACTTTTTCATCCCCCAGAAAGAAACCCCAGCCAGACTCCTTAGCAGTTACTCTGCATACCCCCACCTCCTTTAGACCTAGACAATCAGTCATGTAGATACTAAAGAAATGGAGGCTCTGAGAGGACCAGGGACTTGGTTAAGGTTGTATAGTCAGTGGATGATGGAGCTGAGGTTTGAACCCAGGTAAACGACTCCAGAGCCAGTCCTCTGTGAGTGACTGTTTGATGTCCTTACTGCCACCCCTCCCTCCACCCTATCACGTGTTTCTGACAGTTTGGGCTCGGGCGTGTACATGCATCATCCAAACACGTAGCCCAGGCAGCAACACGCATCTCTCTTC